AAATGGTAATGTCATTAAATGTCAAAAGGTGATGATTACATGCTCTTGAGTGAAAGATGCCTGTTATTTGGCAATTGTGTAACGGAAATGTTATTTGTCATTTATCAGACCAAACAGGAATATTGTCCAAGTCCTGATGCATATGGACATGAATCACTTCAGTACTAGGGAATTTGTTATTGGTGGCAATAATGGCTGGTTTGTTATCATTGCTGGATTGTGTAGTATGCAGCCTGTCACCATAAATCTGGAGCCCTCCTCACCCTCCTGCCTCACTTTCCTTCAGCAGTTGATGATGCTGCTCAAAGTCTCTTCTCTTTTGCCCACTCCTACCGTGGAATAAGTGGCATCCCTAGCAGCATTCTGATGACCAACCATTCCCTTTTTCCCAGTGGCTCCTATGAGATCTCCAGGAAGGTGCTCATTCTCTGTGTGTGAAGTTCTCAGACAGTGTCGAGGAAGTCTTGACAAAGTCTATCAAAAAGTCTCCCAACAAGTTTCAATGTTTAAATGCAGGCCAGTCATTCAACCTCAATCAGTAAATGAACAGTGTAAAACTGAGCACAGCTTTTAAAGTATGAGAAATCCTGAACAATGACTTACTTACTCCTGTTCATTTGGTTGCTGTTAGTAGAGGGTGTTAATTGTAGTCTGAATTTGGAGGATGGCATGCAGCCTTTTTAATACTTTGGATGGTAATCATAGGCTTAATTAACCATAAGGCAGTCATTCCTATCATGTGCTGAAACCCTGTACCATGTGTGCAGAGGAGACAGGCATTTCAAGACCCCATAATGGGAGTGAGTGAGAGTCTGTGTGTGGGAGAGAGAGGGGTAGGGAGACAGAGAGTCAGTAAGTTGACTCAGATGGCTTTAATGAACAATTCCCCTACAATGGCTTACAATGGAACCTCAATATTTGTTGTGACTTTATGTAAGACGGAATTTTAATAAAGTAGTGACCATTTTTGTCCTTGTTTACTTACTTATTTTTAAATCCAGCACAGGATTTCAGCCCTTGCCTTTATATTGTAATAAAAACCCATATTAGCAGCAGCTGCAATGAGTTGGAAAGAGGAGTTAGACCATGCGAAAGAGTGAGCAGTTAATTGTGTTTATGATTGCAGAGAAGTCCAGGCTGAATAGTAAAGCATAGTCACAGTCATAGATGTTATTGTACATAGATAACAAGGTGTAGAGCCGGATGAACACAGCAGGCCAAGCAGCATCAGAGGAGCAGGAAAGCTGACGTTTCAGGCCTAGATTTTTCTGATGAAGGGTCTAGGCCCAAAACGTCAGCCTTCCTGCTCCGCTGATGTTGCTTGGCCTGCTGTGTTCATCCAGCTCTACACCTTGTTATCTCAGATTCTCCAGCATCTGCAGTAACTACTATCTCTGGAACGATGTTATTGTACACTTTAGCTAGGGCCATTTCAGTGTTGTCATAGGCCTGGATTTAATAAGTCCTCAATCACTGTTGAAGTGATCAAAAGCCACATGAATAGCCGCTCCCTTGTAATCATCACCTTGATCTTCCGAGCCTCTCAACCCATTTCCTTCCTAATCAATGCTTGGAAAAGTTCTCTCCGAGGTCAAATATAGTGTCCTGTTCAAATTCTCAGCACCCTGGTCTTTGGTCTTCCATTCAGAATACTTCCTTAGCTGCTTATTCTCTTTACCTGTTCACCTTCATTTTCACTGTGTCACAATCCGGGAACTCACGGTGGCTCAAAAGGTGACACACCATCGCCACTTCAGGGGCAACTAGACAGCTGCAAAAATCACTGTCCTTGTTAGCAATGACCCTATTCAGAGAACTTAAAAAGCAATTTATTTCAAAAATTGCCCCTGTTGTTCAAAGCTTTATTCTCTCTCATCAGTTACAATTCTCCCAGTGTGACTGCTATCCTTCAAGTATAAGGGATGCACATACATAGTGCACAGCTGGTTTAGGTTTTCATCCATCATTTTACCTGGATGGATAACATGAAGTGATAACATGAAATGGCAGAGTTACAGATGATAGCTATAACATGGAGTGGCTTGTATGGCTACTGAGTCTACAAGAAGGGCTAAGTTAGGGAACATAGTGTGACCATTACAACAGAGAGGCCATATTATGTTAAGAGGTCAATGTAGGGACTTTGAAAGCCCAGGGAGATGGATATCTCAATGAGGATCTAGGTCTTAAGAGACAATAGACAAATGATTATTTTAATGATTTTAAAGGAGAAGGGAAGGATTATACAAAGTGAAGGGTTTGAACGAGAACAAAGTACTGGAGGAGTAAAAACAATATCAAGATAAGATTTAGTGATAAGAGTTAAAACTACCACAGTTATGGTGTGGGTGTGGTGAGTAGTGGTGAATAAAGCTGGTGACGGTGGCCAGATCAGGGGCATTGTTTTGGTAAGCACATGGTGATGCTTCCCATTGGTCAGGTTTCAGTTAAAGCCAAGATGTCAATGCCGTCAAAACAATAAGGTTGGACACAACAAGAGCCATCTTTATGCTAACAGACATTATGGGTGGGGGGGGGCAAAGATTATTGAATAACTACCAGAGCCCCAAGGATGATGCTGGTCAGGTTAAGTGGAATGGAAAGAAAGTTGGAGGTGTTAATTCCCAAAGGGCATGCAAGGTTGATGAGAGGGGAGAATGAGAGACAAAGGCACAGCTCATAAGGAGTCAACAATATGCGACAGGTACACATGGGGGGAGGTTGTGTGGGCTGATTCATTAGTGATTCAAAACTGGGCAGGAAAGTAAGAAGGCAGAGCACCGATCAAGATAGCGAAGCGGTGAAAGTTCAGAAAAGGGCGAAATAAATAACAAGAGGATTGGAAGTAAACATACAAGAAGGGACCAAATATGAAAGATAGAAGCGATGTTCATCAGTGAAATAAGGCATTCCTCATGTTAAATTATTCACTCTGTAACTGAAGCCCAATTTCTCCACCTTTGTGCCGATCCAGTAAAATTGAAACTACAATGGTGTCCAACATGAGTGCATGTATTTCTCTTGACCTCATCCAGTTGGGGTTAGGCACCAATCCAGTGGCATGAAAGGTCTCTCTCAAAACAAGGCACGTGGGTTAATTCCATGCTATGGAAACAATAACAATTCTCATAGCTACAAAACACCAAGCCCATTCCCAAGGAGATCATTACTAAGAATATGGTCCCAGTCTCTGCTTCCATTTACAGTGTTAATGGCAAAAAAAAAATCGTGATTTACATCCAAAACACGATTACATAAATGAATTGCTTTGACAGATCCTTTCTTTGTTTTGATTGTAGGAAAGAGAAAATTGAATCTGCACCTCCCCAAATAATGCAATGACATTATTCTAGCATTGCAAGACTTTAAATTCTAGAGTTCACTTGGAAACTATTGTCAATGTTAACTGACTTGGTCAGTTCTGGTCACTAATGCGAATTCATTCAAATTTGAATGATATCCAACTCAGATGGGAAAATAAACTACTTTTCTGGAAGAAATTCTCTACTTTCTAAGGTGAGGGAGGAGACAATTTCCTATTTTGGCATCCAGCATGTGACTGCTACCCCCACACCAGGTAACTCGTAACTAAGTCAAGTTTTCAAGGTAGCGATTCATTTTCTGCACCAAACATCCTTGAGAGCTCGATGAGTGAGATTGACAATTGATGTGCAATTTTTTGCTGTAGGCCCACACATTCTAAAAACTGGGCTGAGGTTGTTATAACGGTCGCCAATCAACAGGTGTCAACTGACAGCATTATTTCGGTCTGAAGTGCTAGCTCAAGAGCACAAAATCCACTGATCCACTAGTGACACTTCTAATTTTGCTTCCACTCTTTTTTTAAACTTTGGTGGTGTCCTGCACAAAGAGCTATGGCCCTTCATCGACACTGTTAATAATTGAAAGATCCATTTGAACTCCTCTGATGTTTGCACTCAAATTTCAGAGTTTCATAAAGGTAGGGGGTGAGAGCAGAATGGATTCTCAGATTAAGAATTGGATACATGACTATAAAGGACAGTTAACTGAAAGTGTTATTATAAAATCTTCTTAAGTTTTTGCCCTTATTGTCTATGATTATTTTTGTTTATAAAAGTGTTTATTTGTTTTTGAATGTTTCAGTAGACTGCTGCTGAGTTGCTTTTTGCTATGCAATGCATCTGGTGATGCATGCTGTAAGACATACTCATAGGTATCTTAGATCTCCACATGTAATGGTTAGGCATCTAACCTGCACTAATGCAAAAATTCCATGTATTAGCCTTAGGTTCTAACAAGCAGTAGATAGGACACACATATCTACCACTTGGCCACTGTAAAAGGGACCTAGACATCTGATTTTTAAAAAAAATTGTACCACAGTTTCCCATCTTCTCCCTCTACCAACCCCATTTCTCTCTCAGAATACTCATATCAATAGTGATATGACTACAATCTGCCTTCAAGGCTACCATCACTTGTTTAATTCCTAGACCATCAAGCAGATGGTTCATATATTTGAGTTGGGTAGCCATGATATCCACGTCAAATAGCCTGCTGAGAATTGAGGAAGCACATTGCATATACATTGGTAAGCAGGAGGGTGCATTAACTTTTTGCTCTATCGAACGCCCAATCATTCTGTTTAGAGTAAGTGCCTACCTATCCTGCGACTGAGATGTTCACAGTCACTTTGCTGGTGTTCCTCACAATAATGGGTAACAAATCTTAACTAATTGTTTAACATTAAGATGAGAGACCAGTACTGGTTTGACGTGAGGAGAAACATTACCAGGGTTGCTTGGGCAAGTAAACTATTCAGGGATTTAGACACCTATCCGACTCTCTGATACAGGCAAAAGATACTTTGTTCAAGCACAGGATTATTGCTATCTGTCCCTGGGACAACTAAGTCATGTTCATAGGAATAGACACCACAAAGAATTCAATGAAGACTACTGTGATAGAGATTAGCTTGATTACAAACTGAGAAGGCAAAAGAAAACATCCTGTGATGAAATTGTTCAGTGCGTTTATACATCTGAAACCTTTCTAGCTACATGTAGAACAGATGGAATTTACAGTAACTCTCTACTTCTAGTATCTGTCCCAGAGACAGCTATGCTTTTTACCAAATTATTTTTACCCATTTTGTATCAGTAGCCCGACTCTGTAGAGTAACATTTTAAACCATCTATCCTTATCAGAGCAGATAAGCATTTCTGGACCTGCCATGGCCAGATTATTGTTTTCTTAGCCTTACTGCACACCGTTATGCATGGCTGCCTGCAGCCCAGCTCTTTGTTTGGATGGTCTTCTGAAAACCCTTTGAGCTTCTTTGCTGCTCGGTACCATGGCCCTGTACGAACTGTTGAAAAAAAAAGAAAGTAAGAAGACATCTTTTTCTACTCTTCGCTTGGGGAACTGTCGTCCAGTGCGCTCACTGTCTCCATGCCAACTCTGCTATTGTTCTGAAAACCAGTAAATGTCACCACAGTGTGTAGAAGAATTAATACCAAAACACACAGCTTAAATCTGCTGTTGCACAGTCGAGATGCTGCTGAGACAGGCAGTGAAGACTTATGATGCAACATGGAGTCCATGGATTTGGTAGATACATTATAACCTTTGTCCCAGGATAGATCACAGGTGTTCCATCTGACATCACAGCATTCTGGCTCTGCATTGGTTAAATGGTTTTCTAGTAGCCCTGTTGCATAAAGAGAAAAGAACTCGATTAAAAAGAGCGTAGAAGCACAGACAATCTTTCTTCCAATTTTCTCACTTGTTTGGAGGTTGACCAAAGTAATTTTACCCACCCCTTGTACCCAGCTCCCCTCAGGCCTGTAAGGGACAGAACCAACAAAATCAAATAACACAGTGACCCTGCTTTGCAAAAGGTTCTCGAACAAGCTGTTGCTGATCGCCAGCCTGAGACCGTCTGTTTAACTTTGGCCAGCAGTCAGAAAGTATCCAAATCTGGTAGCCATTACTGCAAGAGTAGTTGTCTTTTGGCCCACAAGGCTGGGTGAGATTATTGATTGTAGAGAGCCTGCAATAGCGGCACATTGGGTTCAGACAAGTTCTATTCAGCTGTACCACACTTTGAATATGTCACCTTTCAATATTATAGAGTCATACAGCACGGAAACAGACACTTTGGTCCAACCAGTCCATGATGAGCTAATCCCAAATTAAACTAGTTCCACCCACCTGCTCCTGGCCTATATCCCTCTAAACTTTTCCTATTCATGTACTTATCTAAATGTCTTTTAAATGTTGCAATTGTGTGCACATCTGCCACTTCTTGAGGAAGTTCATTCTACGTGAACCACCCTCTGCGTAAAAGAAAATTGCCCCTTATCTCTTTTTAAATCTCTTTCCTCTCACCTTAAAAATGTGCCATCTAGCCTTGAAATCCCCGATCCTAGGGAAAAGACAACTATTATTAACCCTATCTACACCCCTCATGATTTTATAAACTTCTGTAAGGTCACCTCTCGACCTCCTACACTCCAGTGAAAAAAGTCCCAGCCTATCCAATGTTTCCTTATAACTCAAACCTTCCACAACTGGCAACACCCTGGTAAATCTCTTCTGAACCTCCTCCAGCTTGATAATATCCTTCCTATAACTGGGTGACCAGAACTGGACATGGTATCCCAGAAGAGGTCTCACCATTGTCCTGAACTACCTCAACATGACTTCCTAATTGCTATACTCAAAGGACTGAGCAGTAAAGGCAAGTGTACTGAACCCCTTTTTAACTACCCTGTCTCTATGTGATGCAAACTTTAAAGAATTATGTACCTGAAACCCTAGGTCCCTGTCATTTGCCCCGTCATGGGGAAGAAAGTACTATCAAAACCAAGCTACAGGGACATTAAGTCATTGTAGAAGCTATTGCATGGGCTATCTTTGTATCAGCCTATTCAGAGATGCTATTACGTACCTCTGAAGCTGGTGGGACTTGAATCTCGGCAACTGGTCCAGAGATTGGGGCACTACCACTGTGCTACAAACAGTTTCAAAGGGATAGTTTTTAAAATGCAAAAATATCTTAAAATAGGTCAGGTATAACATAAAAGAATAGGACCAATTTAAGGAATTAACAATTAAAAAAGGCATAATGGAGAAAGAGGAAATGTAGAAGATTATTAAATGTTCAGGAGGAACGAGAAAGATCTATAAAGTTGGGCTAAGGAATGCCATGAAATTGACAAGGGATGCAATGCGGAATCATGAGGACAATATAGCTAGAAAGACTAAGTAGGACAGCCAAGAAACCTTCAAACATGTCTGATTTTAAAAAAAGTGCAAGGAGAGATTAGCCCTGAAGAAATTATAATGAGGAATTGGTGTCTGAAAGTAGAGAAATTGAGAAAGTTCTTCCGAAAGTATTCACAAAGGAAAGGAAAATGGGAAGAAATGACAGAACAGTTCTAGGTTAAAGTAGACCAGGAAGTTTTAAAGTTAGAAGACTTTAAAGCTCAAGGTAGGTAAAGTCGCCTAGTTCTGACAATCATCATCCCATGGTCTGAAGGAATTTATTGGAATAATTCCAAGTCATTTATGGATGTTTTCAGAGTTCACTGAAATCGGATGAAATCCAAAACACTGGAACATAGCAAATGTGCTTCCTATCTTCAAAATAGAAATGAATGATATATTATCAATTATAGACTTTAAGGCTTACTTCCACTGTTGGACAAGTGTTAGTAAGTGTTTTGGTGGTTAGTGTAAGGGAGCATCCAAAGTTGCATGAATTATTATGATTTTAGAATTGGGAGGTGACCTTTCAGGAAACAACAAACTAAGTAGAAATGGAGAAGCAGTGAATGTAACCTATATGAATTTCAGGAGGTGTTGGCACCATTGTATGTAAGAATTGACGATTTAATTTAAAATTGAGATGAGACTATGTCAAATTGGATTGGCAAACTTTTGACTTGTAAGATGCAGAGACTGGGTGCTTATCTGTTTTATATCCATTTACCAATGGAATACCACATGTTTGAGCACTTGTTCTCCTGTTATTTATAATTTCCATAAATGCTAACTAGGAAGGATTTGTGACCAAAGGTTCAATTGCATTTGGAGAGGAAATGTTATCTTCCTTCAGGGTTTAAGATACTTCTCTTTAAAGGACGCCAGCAATATTGAACTGGGTATCATGTGTAGGAGGACTCCAGGCTGAAACGTCCATGGCATGTTCTTGATGAAGATTTGGGAAAATATTGAAATGACAATCAACCAGGCAGTGAGTTGAATGAAAGGACATTTGAGAGATTTTTTTTCATTACTGAGATTCTCGCTGTCTTTTCTATGGAATATCATAAAAACCAGGGGATGGGTAAATAATGTGAGGAAAAACAGAAAAAAAGGTTAACAAGAATTGTTTTATGCTGCTGTGATTGGTGGAAAAAACTCACTAACAGTTTTGTTCAATTGTCCTAAAGGAATATTCCACTGATAGGATATAGTGTCGCTGCCTCAAATGCGTCATTCAATTTTTAAATACACTCAAATTTCACAGCAATGATATCACTCTCTAGTGAGTTGTGGTCGATGTTGAACAGAATGATGAGTTAATATCACGCAGATGGAACACTGGTTTATTTAGATTTATTCTAATCTAAAATACATATTGTATATACATCTAGTTGACGCACATGCAAGTTAGTTCCCCAATGAATGACATGTGCGTGTACTGAAACTGCAGAATGTGCAAACAGACTGATACAATAACAGACAGACAGAATTATTATGAACATCTGTTGATTGCATAACAGATACACCAGAAGCTATTAGAGGGCAGAAATCTTATCAGGTTTAAGGTCAAAGTTCAGAACACTCAAAAGTAAGCCATCAGAACAAAGTTCAAATGGTTTAAAGAAATAGATTATAAATGTTCTGGCTCACAAATGTCCTTTTGGGGAGGAAACTGCTACCTTACCTGGTCTGGTCTAAATGTGACTCCAGACTGACAGCAATTTGGTTGACTCTTAACTGCCGTGTGGGCAATTAAGGACGGGCAATAAATCTGGCCTAGTCAGCAAAGCCCACATCCCATGAATGAATTACACACCAACAGGTTACCTTAATTGAGGTTCCGCGCTTATTAAAAACAATGCAGCAACCAACTTTAATACAAACGCTGACTAGTAGTAGTAATCTGGTGTTGGTTTTGGTTGAGTGTTAACATGCAGGAAGATGTCTCCTGCTCACCTTCTAGTGCTGTCATTGGATCTTATGCATTGATAGGAGGAGAAGGACAATGGAGTTTCAGTTTCACATCTTACCTGAGTGACAACATCTCCAACTGACTAGGTTACGGTTCTTTTCTGTCGTAGGACTTGAGCTTGCAACCTTGTCACTCAGATGCTGGAATGCTGAGCCAGAATGACAACTGATGACTAATAACCATCATTTAAACACTCTGACAAATTACAGCCATGAATTCACATTGCAGTAATGGAAGAATAAAATCTTTACTATTCACCCTCAAATGGAATGGACCTCATGGAGGTATGTAAAATGATATGGAATAAAGGAATCTGGAAAGGTGACTAACTTGACGCAGATTTAGGAAAATTTAATACTGATGTCAACCAGATCTTAATAGAAAGAGTGATCATTGGGTCGAATGAGTTTCCTGATGGGAGGCAAACTTTAGCGCATAATTTATGAAACAATGCATGCCATGTGTACTCATTCCACACAGATAAGCAGAAATGGGTTGTTTCTTCTTAGTTCTTCACACCTAACCTGCAATTTATTTTCATTGAGAATGCAAAGTTTCAAAGGGATTGCTGGGTCAAAGATGAAACACAGTCTCACTATTTTAAACTTCCTGTGAACACAGAGTGTCATAATTTCTGGACCTTCATTGATCCCTGTTTCACCCGAAAGAGATAAACTGAAAGCTGAGGAAATTGTGATTAACTCGTTGGGCAATTCAGAGAATTTGAGTTTAATTGGAAGAATCAAGTTCAGGAAACACTTCATCACACAGCAAGGTGAGAATATTCAGCACACCACCCAAGAAGCTAGATTTGCAAAATTAATTAATGTGTTTTAAAAGGGAACAAAGGTGTTAATGGCTGGGGGGAGAAAACAAAGGGATAAGCCTTTTATTTTGGTTAAGTGCAGGTTACTTCAAGTTTGATGGAGTGATTCTTGCCACAACAAAGAACAAGTTTTCTTTGCTGCATCAATTGGTGTTCAGCTGTAATGGTATCCATGATGTGGAGGTGCTGGTGTTGGACTGTGGTGGACAAGGTCAGAGATCACACGACACCAGGTTAGAGTCCAACAGGTTTACTTGAAATCACAAGCTTTCAGAGCGTCAGTCCTTCTCCAGGTGTTAATGAAAGAGGTAGTATCAGACACAGAATTTATAAGTAAAAGATCAAAGGGTCACACCACCGATGAGGATGTACTAAACAAACCTAAGATGCTGTTAAATCTTTAATCAGTTAGATGGTTTTAATTGATTAATATGTATATGTAAATCCCTGAATTCCTTCCAAGTCACTGTCCTGAGAGAACTAAAGATTTTACCAGTGTAAAGAAGAGGTGTTATATTAGGGTTTTTGCAAAGATTTGTAGCTCGGGTTGTTGGTGAGGTTGTTGACTTGCTCGCCGAGCTGGCTTGTTCTTGTTCAGATGTTTCATCACCATGCCAGGTAACATCATCAGTGAGGCAAT